TTTGTGTGAGACTATTGGATATTATTGGAATTGAATTTGGATTGAAGTCGTTCTAAATAAAAGGTGTTCCATCCCAAGATCATTCATGTTGAAGTTTAAATTTGGGCATGGTGAATTCATATTTTTTGTTACTAAGTTTGGTTTCAACTCACAATAGGACTAAGGTTGGGACAAAGTGTTGAAAAACTCTACTCATGTGATTACATTTACCAACACAAGAGTACTTGATGTTGAAAGGCGACTTGGTCATTTTACCAAGGAGACAATACTCACACATTCTATTAGATTCATAATTATATAGATCGATATAACCTTGTTTGTTTAACTTGGTTACACTAGTCTCATTGATGTGTCCAAGCTTATAATGGTAGATGTAAGATAGTTTTGGATCATCTTTATTTGTTTTGGTGACCTCTATATCGAGTTTGGGTCTTTTAGGATCAAGAATATAGAGACCATTTGAATGTTTCCCTACACCGTAGTGCATTTGTCCTTTAGAGAAAAAACAATAATTGCCCTTAATGCTAAATTCAAAATCATCATATAGTGCCATGTATGACATAGAGATGATGTTTCAAGATATGGAAGGAACATAGTAGCATTCTCTTAATTCCAAGATTAACCTAGAAGGTAAAAGTATGGTAACTGTCCCTACAATTAATGCAGCAACCTTTGCTTCATTCCTTACTCTTAAGACCACTTCTCCCTTTGTTCATATTTTAATTGTTTCTAGCACTTTTATGTCATTACATAAGTGTGACCCACATCTAGTATCTAATGCCCATGATGATGGTTCAATGATAAACAAATTTACTTCAATCATATATGGTCAAATGTGAAACTTTTACAAGCTTTTCATTCTTTGACCTTGTCAAGAAAGTTAGCATATATCCCTTAATTACATTTATTCTTAATAAATATTTGAGAACATTTTTCAACTTGATATACCAGTCCAAACATTTTGGCCTAGATTTCATGATGGCATCAAATATGCCTCGAAAAGTGATGTATATTCGCATTTTAACAACCTAGAAGTTTAAAGAACATTTATGAGTAATCATGTGTTATACTCAATTAAGATGAGATAGTAACTTTTAAATTGATTGTTCTCATTATTTTCTTTAAGATGATAACCCTCTATAATATCTCGAGAGATCTCTACAAGGATTGTCTTAGTGGGTTAGGATTTCTATCTATTCTAATCATGACTTTGAATGTGCTCAATTAACCATGATAGGTGGATTAGGTAGGTAATTAAGCTTACTAATTGTATCTCTATACAATTCATAGATCAGCTAGGTGACAACACACTGCCTAAACATATCATCTATGTTTCGTGTAGCCATTGCCTCTAGTTTCCATAATAATCCAATTTCCAAGGATTTGGGTTTTAAAAAACTAGTTGAGTAAGAGTCACCAATAGCTCAAATATACTCATGTAAAAGTGTGACCTTGAGTGTGTTCAACAAGTTTCTGATTAAAAGAACAGTTGGATTACCTTGTTATATGGTGGAAGGTAACTTAATCATGCGTGGCATGCGACTCAATATTTACTGAGAAATTTCGTTATTTGTTTTTATTAAAGTCTCATCTTTACATGCGTAATATTTATTAATTGTATAAAATAAATCTATCTCATGCACACTATTTTGGATGATTATGGACTTTATCTATACAAGTTTCCTTGGGTCATTGAAGGAAATTAGCTTGGTCAAACTAAAGGGATAATATACAACATACTGTAATATTTCTCATTGTATTTTCATGGCACCTTTAGGTCTTTATCTTTGAATTGTAAAATAACTCCTAAACTAATCCTAATTCTACACTTAGATGTAACTAATTTCATTTTAGTAAGGTGAGGAGAGAATTTTAAGATCCCTAAAAATCAAGAGAAAAGCGAGGTGCGCAGACCTTATTTAATAAATAAATATCATGATAAATTTAACCATACATCCATAATCACATTAGGCCTAGTCTATAATCATCCATATACATTCATCTACATGAACATGAAATTAAATAAATTTCTTGTTCTAATTATTAATCCTATCATCAATTTGAAATTAGTTACATTCAACTCTTGAATTAACTTATTTCAAATATTCAGGTTTCAATTTAATTCTACATATGGAAACAATTTTCATATGTAGAGATCTTTACTAATGAATATAAATAATTTTGTCCATTCCTAATCTTGTTAGGATAGGAACTATTGCAAATTAAAGAAAGGATAAGAGTTATTACAAATTAAAACAATTTTTATTTTTATTGTCTAAACCTTTTAGATAATCCTTTTCTTATTCGAAAATAAAGATTATGTGTTTTAAATTACCAAATCTTATTTTGTAATTATAAAACCATTAAATCTTTATTTATCTATTGTCAAATCCGAATCCATAAGCTAAAATCACGGAGATATTTGTTTGGTTTTAAATTACCAATTTATCCTTTAACTTACATAAAATTTAGGAATCAAATTCCTTGATTTATGGAGGTTATTCAAAACAATTTCTGACCACCATTAAATTAAGAATCAGATTGTTGAATTTAATGTGTCAAACTTGTCAAGCTCTCATAATTTTAAATTGTCAATTGCTTAGTTTCCATAACTTATAGGAATTAAATTCCTTAATTTATGGAAACATACAACCATCTTTAATATCCTTTATTTAAGAGGTCATATTACTTAATTTTAACATCAAAATTACTGATTTTATGGAACTATTTCCATAAAACATCAAACAACCAATTGACTCTTAGAATTGCACCAATTGAAGGTGCTAGTTAAGGCAATTTAACAAGCCAAAACCGTGGCATTCAAAATATGGGATTTAATCCTTTAGCCTTAATTTCTGGTTAGCCCTTATCTTGAACATTTCCTATAATATTTTGCATCAATTCATTACTCCTTGAATTTGAATGCTTTTTTGCTGAATTTGTTTGTGCATCTTATGCACACTTTAATCTTTGCAAAAAGTTGACCCCATACCAAGATTAACATTCATCGATAAGAATTTAAAAATTACAAAATGAAATTGTTCAGAAATTTGCGAACAACTTCAAAGCAAAATTGTAAATTTCAAACCTCCTAATTTGATCCCCGAACACCTCATATCTATGTCAAACACAAAATTAACAATAACAAGACATTAGTTTGCATCAAAATGAACTAAGAGAGGCGTTGATACCACTATTAGGAATGGCATGATCAACATACAATGCAGCGGAATAATCAAGATAAAACAAAAAATTAAAATCATGTGTCCTACCTCGGATTGCCTTGGAGTTTTGAGCAAACAAAGATCATCATAGAAAATCGGAAAAAGGTATTACCTTTGCCAATTGATATCGTAATCAAATGGCTCCTCTTGTTGTTGATAAACTGTCACACTTTGAGTTTGAAAGAATCCCAGCTAACCAATTGCTTAATCTCCAATGTTGCACACATGATTACAATTGAACCTTCACCAAAGAGAAAACTTTTAACCACGGACTTGTGCTAGCTAGTGGACAATGTTTTGTCCTCTTTTCTTCTTTGATTTCTAATTGAGAACCAAAAAGAAGTTCTTCTCAATTCCTCTCAATGGTGACGGCACATAAAGAAAAACTCTCAATTTTGTTTTTATTTTTCCAATAAAAAAATTGACTTAGAAAAGAGTGGTTGTAAAGTGACTTTTATATCTAGGTTTTTCAACTTATTAAATATGCAAAATAAACTCTTCAATGTTATAACATTTATAATATTGAACTAGTGCCTAATTAAACTATTTTAATTAGGTCCCTAAAAACCTAGTATATGATTTAAGCTAGACTTAAATCATCACACTTTCAATTTAATCCATATTGTAACCTTTTGTGTGTGACCCATTAAGTTCTTAATATATTGACAATAGAATTGAATTATAATTTTATTTATTAATTAATTTAAATGAATCATATTCAATTTAAATTAACTAATTTAATTTTATAGACTAAGATTGACATCTAACAATGCATCATGACCACCAAATTGTTAGGAGAGTCAAAGGATTCTTTGACAACCTTTTAGTGTACAGTCTATTAATGTAGTTCATTCTTTTATCATATATTTTAGAGATGATCAAAGTTTTGTATGGTGTCTATTCTTATTGACTCCCATATTTGTTCCCACAATCAGATAATTAGTTTTATAGAGATTTATGAAACTCATTTCATAATATTCTCATGCGTTAATATCAATCAAGAACTGATGAGATATTTTCCCTTGAACCACTTGGAGTGATGATTCCTATCTTAATAATTTATTTGCCTTCATATGTTTCATATTACACTCAAAAGCATCTTGTTTTGGCATCCTTAATTAGACACCTATAGAGACAAATGTTTCAAATAGAAAGAATAATTACATAACTGACACATGAGAAGAATTGTATAAACATTAGAGTGAAATTTCAAATGCATTTCTCATGTCGGGTCACGTTCAGTGAACTTACTTATCCATGACAAACACTCACATGCTAGTTTCAAATATTTCTATACTTCTTCTACCCATAAAAGTGACTGCTTACTTCACAAGTAAAGATTATTGATGCCTTGTCTGAATAATACAACGATTAAAAACTTTAAGAATAATGCTTTAATACATAAGGATTTTATAATTATATCCAAATACAATTCTTTTAATAACATTGTGTAATAATGTTATTTTTAAGAATTTATAAATTAAAAGTTTTTTTTTTTGAAAAAAAGTACTAATGTGTAATAACAAATATTTAATGAGACTTTTCTATATTCTCACTTTTATCTTTTAATAAGTCAAAAAGTTAATAACATTGTAACTAATAATAGTTAATCCTCAAAATCTATTTGATTAAAAAAATATAATAAAAAAATATAAATTTATTTAAAATTTTTTAATTAAGTCTAAAAAATAAAAATAAAGCTGAGGGATTAGACTACTGGTTTTACCCTTTTTTTTATGAGACATTAGAACACCATTAACACTATAACAATTAAAATGGGTAGATAGGATCACAAAATTTTAAATAATAAAAGTAGAATGAACAATGAAAATAATTTACTTGTGAATGGAAATTTCTAAGAAAAAATAGAGACAATTTCATGAGAAAATCTTCCAAAGCAGCTAAAAACAAAAAAGTCTTGAAAATGATTTTTACATGCGCGGCAATCATCTACGATCCTGCAAGCTCAGCACCTCAGCTGAAACTCTCTTCAATGAGGAACATGCCTTGCGCAGGTCAGATTCTATGTGGGCGGCAGAAACAAACAGTCTAATTCCCACAGGCAGGGGGCATTTATCAAGCGTTGATCTTTTTGAAACCACTACAAATATAGAATCTTCTTTCAAGGCCTGCAAATGTTTCAAATCAGCAGATAAAACTCCATTCAGGCATCCACCAATCACAGGACTCTACTAAGATGGAGCAAAAGAATTGTGAACTTACACGATCGGCAATCTCTTCCAGGAGCTGGAGGTCACTTTTCACCGAACCTGTTGATTTTTCAAGTCGAAGGAAAACAACGGGTGATTCCGGATTGCTTGCTACTGAAAGCCCCTGGATATCTGACAGGCCTGCATTTTCACAACAGGTTCAGAGCCAGGAATGGTTTGTGTCAGTTACACAATAATCACCAAACATTGTTTGCACTCTCAGCAATTATCTACCACCAAAGGAAGGCTTGTACTACAAAATGTTTGATTTTTAAAAACTAAACAATATTAAATGAGTATACAATGAAGTAAATAACCGAGGCACTTACCGATGTTTTCAAAGTTAATAAGAAAATATCAGGGTGTCTCATATGAAAATGTTTCTTTTCGCAAGGAAAATAATAAGGAAGACATTTTTTTAACAAATACACCCTGCAAGGTGCTTTCTGATCCGATGTTGGCATGTTACATATGTTAATGAGAAAATATCAACTTCTAGTCACCACGGTGCTGACATAAGCTCCATATGGATCTCAGAAAATGGAGAATTCAATGTTGAGAAAACACTCACAACCATGTATCCAATGTACCCTATTCTCTTTTCCGCACTATAATATGTGTAGGGGTTAGGGTGGGGTGGAAGGGGAGGTGCCCTAGTTTGACAGTGACATTTTTAGGTCAAATAATCAACTACACAAGTTAAATTCTTTTTCAAGTGTTGTGATACTTTTAGATCAAATAATCAACAGTTTAAGGTTTGATTTGCATACTTTAAATGGTCTTAAAACTTTTCTGCAACTCTTGGCCAAAAAAAAAAAACTTCTCTGTAGCTCAAGTAACTTCATATTCAGCATTGCTAGGCTGATATGATTACAATTCCTAGGCACTCCAAACTAACATTTCAACACCAATCAAACTTAGGTTCCACTACTCTTACTTTGTTGCTCACAGACCTTAAAGCACTCACACCTTTTTAGTGTACTTTAATTGTCCTAATTCTCAACTAAGCAGGCACATTTCAAGCCCTAAACAAGCATAAAAATCAGATTCTATTCTATTCTGCTTCCTAATAGCACCAGGACTTTGGATTTTGCTCCAAATCTCCAAGTATTTTCCTTTGTCTGATTTTGTTTTTAAATTAGCTCTTAGCAGTCCTAGAGCTAGGCCTATATCATAGATTACTTGAAATCACAACATGTGTATTATCACAGAAACAAAGGACTTTGAAGTCAATCCCTAAAACCATACAGAAAAGTTAAATGCATGCTCAAACCAACCTTTCCATAAAATGGCAACGTTTTCCTTCAGCTTTGATGTCAACTCAGGATTTTGTTCTAGGACATCAATAGCAGTAATTGCAGCACTAGCCAAATATGGGGGCAAAGATGCAGAGAAGACATACCCAGAACTACTCAACCGCTGCCACAGATCAGAAAAACATTAGCCTTTTAAAAGAGAAATAGGAAGGCTATCTGTTAAAATAATGGTAATAAAGGGTAAGACTAGGCAGAACTTCCATTATTCAGTAATACAAAAAGGTCTTAGCGTAAAGTGTACAAACTTGGTGATCAATGACTCTAGCACTTCCAGTGCAGAATCCTCCTTCTGTCGCCAATGCATGCCCCATAGCAGCAGTAACAATGTCTATCTTCTCTATCTGCAATATGCGCAACCATTAATCACTAACAGAATCAACGCAACAATAAGAATGTAACAAATTTTATGAACACACCAAAAAAAAAAAAACTTTATAAACACACCGGAACCCCACAGTATTCAGTGAGACCCCTTCCTGTACGGCCAAGTACACCAAATGAATTACTCTCATCCAATACAACACGGAAGCGATACTTCTCTTTCAGCCTGATGATGTTGTCCAAAGGTGCTATTTGACCAGAATTCTACATATTTAACAATCAAAGGGTTAGATCCAGTACGTCAAATTTACATTCAGGAAAGAAAGAAACAATCTAATGACCTGAACCAACCACTACAAGGTATCATCCACTTTGACCCATTGGGCCTCATGATTTTTTCCAGAAAAGCAGCCTTGCAAGGTTGGTTCCAGGTCTCATCATATGTACCAAAGTCTTTTTACAAACTCTGCTTTGAGATGGGTGTGAGAAACAAATGCACATCAAGGAAAGTACCACAGATGGGACGATTAACAAAATCTATAACTGCTCTTAGACCTTGTAAGTGTTAAGTGCGTTAGTAGATTGAAGATTGCTGCTTTTCAGCAATTCGATTAAAGGAAAATAACCAACCAAGCACATATGAAAGCAAGCCATTGCAACAATAAAACAGGTCATTACTATTGATTGATTTTGCAATTAGTAAACTTCAAATAGTGAAAAAATTGTTTTAAGACTACAAAATGAAACATGACGTTCTGACATGCACTTCAGGTGAAACATCTTTCATATAGAACCTCAATTCCATAACATCACAGTTGCAGAGTTTGACAGCTTAGTACTCCGCATTCCTCAACAGGGGAAAAGAAGCTTCCTAAGGAATACATAGACATATGATAAATGCATGTACATGTATGCATGCAGAAAACTACAAAAATGGAAAGTTCCAGTTAAGAAAAAGAAAATGAACACTAAAACTTCCATAGATTGAAGATTACCGCTTTACAGCAATTCCATAAAAGGAAAATATCCAACTAAACACATATAAAAGTACACCATCGCAACAGCAAAACAGGTCACGACTATTTATTGGTTACGCAATTAGTGCACTTTGAATAGTGAGAAAATAGTTAATGACTACAAATATGAAACATGATGTTACACATGCACTTCAGGTGAAACATCTTGGGCGTGGAACCTCAGTTTCCATGACATCAAAATTGCAAAATTTGACAGCTCAAGTAATCCTCAACAGGGAAGAAGAAGCTTCCTAAGGAGTACATATACATATAATAAATGCATGTACAAGTGGTGTGCATGCATACAGAAAGAAAAAAAAAATGAAAGCTCAAGTGAAGAAAAGGAATTGGAACACTGAACCATCTTATTCACTACTCACTGAAAGCTAATAATAAATTCAACCTTGGTCTTGGTCTTATCCCATATGATTGGAATCTGAAGAGCATTGAAGATTCTATAAAGAAGCCCCATCCAACATTATTGCTGTCACTTTTTTATATTCCTCATCCATGAAATCTGTCTAACTAGTCTTCTATTCATCAACTTACTCAAACTTCTAAAGATAACCACTCTTAACAAGATACAAATCTTGGATGCTCCAAAAACATATCAACATATAAAAGACTTCAAAATGTTGGGGTATGGCCCTTTTAAGGTATATTTACCAAAAAAAAAAAAGAAGATGAAAAAGAAAAAGTAAAGATGACTATATGGTGTGAATGATTCGCTAGGACAATCAAATAATGATATTTGCATTTTGCAAGAATCTAGGCCTAAGCAAGTTTGTTAAGCAGTGATAGGTATATTTCTTTTTACTTGACTGAAATTTTTTGTTACTGAAAGGTCATGTCGGCTTCTGGTGTTAAAAAAAAAACATTATGTTCTTCACATAATTAATGATTTAAGGCTACACTCTCTAGCACTCATTCATCCTACTTTGCTCCTAATTTGATATACCAACAAAAGATGAGCATGGTGCAGACGAGAATGTAATTAATGGATCACAAAATCCACTGAAATGACATGCAATACCCACAAAATGTTAACTTTATGAACTAACCCTATGCATTTTTCTTGTCTGAAACATTTTAAAAATAATCTAATGCTAACACTGAAAAAACATTTTAAAAGCCAAAGGCATTATCATAAACTAATAAGGAACTTGAGTGTGAATTTTCATCTAAATACCACTAGACTTATTTATACCAATGACTCTTGTGCAGCAATTCAAGGCAACAGCTAATTTACCATTCAAATCCTAGAGATACGGCTATTTATGGACAACGGGGGCACACCAAAGATACAAATCGTTAAAGCTTATATGCACATCTGACATAACATACCTGATACACAGCTTCTACCACAATGTAGCGCCGCAATTTCTTAGCCCGCTGATTCTCTGCAGTAATTTTCTCAAGAGTTTTTTCTAGAGATTTCATATCATTGTGTTTGAAATAAACAATGGTGCTTCTAGAAAGGTAGAGGCCATTTTGTATTCCCCAGTGTACTCCCTCATCGCTGGATAACCAAACACAAACATAATATATAAAATAATGAGATATAAATCTACGCCTAAAAGATTCTAAAAAGGTATTAAAAGCAAAGACACAAACTTATGCTAAGATAAGCAAGGAATGATAGAACAGGACACATGGACTGGAAAGATCATACACGCGCATATACCATTGCACAAAGATCAGAAAATAAACAAGAAAAATGAAAAGCTGGAACAACTCAAAAAGCAATTTGGGCCTCTGAATACAAGCTTTATCCCTTTAAAATTGCAGCAGTTCCTTTCTGCCCAAATACACAAATCAAACAAAGGGAATTAAAACCCAATCTTCATATGGATTCCTCCAAATTTCCTTTCCAAGGTTACAACAATGCAGTCTATCAGTAATTAGATAGGACACACCCAAAAAAGAAGATACTACTACCACAACTCCCTCGATACCAAATAGTAAAGAAAAAAATGATCCACTGTCTTAGCATTATTCATACACATAATTTAATTACTTTGTTTTATAATTCTAAACCATACAATAATTGATTAGTTTAGTTTTAACAATCCTGTAAACAGCTGGGGCGTCACTTATCAGCAGGCCCATTGCAAGACATATTATAATCTGGCTTGTGAAACCATCTAGCAATGAGTCAATCCAGTTGTTAATTCAGTAAAAGAAGCTCCAGTGGGATACAAGGAAGAAACAAATTTCCATTGCCATGCTTGGGAATTTCAGTTGCATTAAGCAATAAATTCTATCTCACGATGCAAAAATTGAGAGAGGATTAGCAAGAGCATAACAAAATAAGGAGAAAGAAAGAGTAAATCAATCAATTTCACAAGTTATCCATTCCACAGCTTACCATATCAAATTCTGGCTAATAGCCATATATTTAACCAATTAAAGCAGTAAAAAGTATTTTACTTACACAACTATTATGTCGCCCTTTTTACAAAAACATGGGATTGTGCTGAACATGGTGGAAAGCCCATAAGAATAGAGGATGGAATCAGGTGTTCCCAAAAACTTTGCTATTCTGGCCTCGCAATCAAGGTGGACATCTGAACAACAGAAGGTTGTCACAATCCGAATCTTGTTCTTATAGAAGTTTAGGAAGAGACCTCCAAAGTGCAAAATTTAAAGATGCTTTGTTATTGATGCTTACCAATTGTTCCATAGAATCCACGAGGACCACAAGAACCAACACCATATTTCTCCAATGCAGAGGTACATGATTCCTGAAATAACACATTTTATTAATTCATATTTTCATATCTTAGTTACAAAAATCCCCTTGAAAACATGGTCTGGTTATAACTTCCACCAAGTTTTTAAAAATATACACTTCTACTTTGAGAAGCCAGCTTTTTTAATAATATTCAACAGCTTTCATAAACAAATTTAAGACAAGGTAAATGTATATTCTTAGGAAACATCAAGAGGGAGAGTGTATTTTTTAAAGAAAATTTGGAGAGGATAGTCATTATGCTATCTTGATATAGGGTTTTTGTAATTTATTCTCTGGTCCTTAATCTGTTAACAAAATAGAAGAATAAATATATAATAGCGATAGAATCCTCACAAGTAACTTCTCATGCCCTATAAATCCAAGATAATTTGCAGAAGCAAAGTTCACAACTTCTTTGCCATTGATTATCGTATGGGGCCCTGCAGCACTGCATAAGGATAGACTCATAAGCTAGGACACCTTTGGAAAAGAATTCACTTTGAGTATTTTAACTAATATAACAATTCATGAGTAGTTACCAAAATTCTATAAAGTTCCCATGCAAAGGCATACACTAATAAAAATAACATACAGAAATACTTATATAATTATGATTCCAGATGAAAACAAAATTAGGGAAGAAATTAAATGACAGAAAAAAGAAAAAAAAAAGCACACATTATTTGGAAACAAAATCCATTCAGTTTGGGAGAGAAAAAACATGGAAATAATACTTGGACAAAACGCATATCTCCCAAATCTTCAAAATGGAGGAGGAAAGGAATAAATGTAAGTAGAACCAAAATTTTTCAAGAGTCAAATGCAATTCAAATAATGCAAAGATAACAATTATATTCACCTTTCCAACACGGGGGGTTCACTCTGCATCTCTTCAGTAATAGGAGGAATAAGAGATTCTGGAACCCATTCATCACATAGCTCATCTATTTCCTACAGACATTTGGGAGACTTCTCGGAATGTTAGGCTAACGCAAAAGCACCGACATCAAAAAGAATAATAAGGAAACTGCAATATACAAGCATGAAACTAAAAGCATATCAATCATAGAACAGTATAAGATTACAATCTGACACAGATGCACCATTTAGATAAGTTAGTATAATAGTAAAAACATATCAATTGTTAGAACACCAAGGGACTTGATCCAACACACATCACCAAACCCTTCAGCAGAAACTTTTATGCTTAAACATAAAGGTACAAGTGTATATGGCTACCTTGCGACAATCCAATGATGATATGCACATGTGAACTTGAAACGTTTTTATTCAATAAAATTCACCGCAGAATGCAAGAACAGTTTGACTCAAGCAAAAAGAACAAAAAGAGGTGAAGCTAGGACGCAGATTACACATGGAAAAGGAGTAAAGAATGGCTTGCTATTGTTGGACCTTTCAAAGATATAGTCCTTCATCAAATGGAGTTGAAAAAGGATATGATTTGAAAAGCTGTCAAACAATTTTCAATGGTAGTATGGCTTCAAATATGCAGCACAAATCATACTACAACCATGAAAGAAAATTCTTTTAATCATTAAACATTCTGGTCCAAATAAAATGATCAGCCAAATCCTAGCTATGAAATATTGAATACACATAGCACATTAATAGATTCACAGAACTGTGATCCCCACCACATAAACATGAAGTAGTACGTACCCAAGGGGGAAATCAAAATTTAAAAGTAGAATTGCAAAACACACCTTCTTTGTTAACGGTCGCTTAGGAGGCTTGTAACTTTTCTGGGAAAGCAGAAAAAGAATGACCACCAAAAGAAGCACCTCCACAAACAAATGCCCTATAAACAAACTTGAAAACGTTAATGATAAACGCGTAAAGCATGAATAGGAGAAAAGATAGAGTCATGTAATTAAGATTTTTGTGAGGGTACCTCCTATGTGGACTCCAAACACTACAGCTCGTGCAGAAGGGGCATCCAAAGCCAAAGTGACCCAGTTTAAAGTGGCATTAACTAAGTTTAAAGCAGCTGATTCCATTGCAGTTGGCAAACAAAAGGATCCAATCATGAACCCTTTTTGTTCTAAAACATTGAGGAATACTGCCCACTGACCTCAACCCTGCAGCTATTAATTAACAGCTTAAGTTCCAGAAAAAGTAAAAGCAAAAGGATAGAAAGCAAAATCATGATGCATTGATTAGAAACGAATAAAAGTCTAAACTACACCACTAATTCCAACATAATTGTTCTATATAAAAGTAAAATACTTTTTTTTAAAAAAAAAAAAAAAGCACTTTTAACGTTAATTCTTCAAAATTATCATCGAACTTTCATATCCAAATGCTTTTTTTTTTTTCTAAAAAGTACGTCGTCATAAAAGTTACAACCAAACAGTACCTAAGCTAATCCAAATGAACCAAAAGCTGAATACTGCTCTTAATAAAAATTAACACCATCAATCACACAAATACAAACCGAAAATTGAAACCAATATGGATGGATTAATAAATTATAAATACAAACTTCTATACTTTTAAATGTTGACATAGAGAAGAAAAAGTAAAGAATTTATAAATTTCCAAGGAATGATCTGCTAGAAAATTAAAAAAACCTAACCCTAATTATAAAAATAAAAATCCAACGATGAAGATTTGCCGGTAATTTCAATGGAAAATTAAGATGAAATTCGGAAGAAAGAAAAAAAAAAAAACAAGCAAATTGTCGCAGAAGGGAGAAGCGAGAACCTGATGCCGGCACCGGCACACCTCTTGCTTCGGTTGATTTGATTTGATTTGATTTGATATTTGTGTCTGACAAGAGTTGGCTTGGCCTTGGGATTGAAATCAAATGTGTTTAAGGCAGCCAAGAAGAAAAAGAAGAGGAGGCTTGGTATTTGATGAAGGAAATGCTAATGGGAATGCAAACGAAAGAAAGAAATACACATGCTAATAGGAAATGGTCAACCCCCGGGTCCAAACACGTCCAATTTTTTTATTTGATTTTTCTTTCATTTACCTTTTTTTTTTTTAATTTGATTTTTCTTTTTTTCTTACAAAACAAAGCCGAAAAGTACACAAAATTGCCCTTCTAATTTACAGCAATATCCCAAAATTATTATTTTTAGACAATTTTATCCTTCTATGCTCCCGCGTTATTCCCAATCCACACACCAAAGAATAAAAGGATTTATTATTGAATTAACAGGTCATCATGTTGATATCCTCCTCTCCTTTCGGTCCGTACAACCCAATTGGGTTGAAATAAATTTAAAATCAAATTTTACGTATATGATTAATAAAAATTTAATTAATAAATTAAAGTTAATTTACAAAAAAATAATGTTTAAAATTATATTTAAAATAATTAATAAATTTTAATAAGTACTGCATTGATTATAAGAAATTTATAAATAATAAATTATATATATAACTAAAAATTAATTATTTATAATTGACTTTGAATAATAAGCATCCTAAGACCACTTACCGAATCTATGACGGATAATAGTTTCATTATTGCTTTCCTACCTGAACCCTACTCGAACTTAATTATAAATTAAGTTAATCAACATCCGTGCTCATAAACATACTGTAATTGAATTTGCTTTTTAACAGTGTAGCTTCAACGAATTTACCTGCTACTTCACATGAAGATAAGATAAGAGTTGCCAAACAATTTGCCAGAAAATCTGCATCTCAGGAAAACCCTAAAATCATGACTATCTTGTTGTATATGCATGTAGCTACAAGAGAATAATATCAAATACTTGTTACAAGTAGGATGGCTTTACTGATAATTGCATGCTGAAGAAGAAATACAAAAGTAATCCTATTGAAAATGCCATGTGATATGTATCAAGTTTCTTTCACAATATGACATGTAAATGTGTTCTGTACCATGTGCAACTGTAAGTCTAAGAATTACTTCTTTTTTATTTATTTTTATTTGAAAAATATAAACTAACCGGTATGGGAATTTACATAAGTTTGTGGTATTCAACAGTTTTTAACAATTGTTGATTCATAGAACACAATGTACACTTTGTTTATGGAACAGGGCAATGACATCTTTTACCCAATGATGGTACCTAGTAATGCAGCAGGGCTGGAGGTAAATACTTTGTGTTCATATGCACAAATTGGCTTGCCTAATCCATGATATACTCCTTCTCCTTTTCTGGATAAATTGATCCACCGCATAGTTTTGAAACACTAGTAACCTAGCCATGCAGACGGTATTGGTTGAAACTTGTTCTTTGCCATTGCCAGCACGTCATAGTAATCTGCACGGTTGAGACAGTCACGGAAATCGGTGAAAAGCTTCTCAAACACCTTCCATTGGACTTCAATTGATCTAGAGTATGGGTATGGAAGAAAAACCTGCAGAAAATGAAAAGAGGAATCAGAAAAAAATAGTACACCTGCATGTCAATTTTTTAAATATTTGGAAGCTGATGAGATTTCAAACAGATTGTTATTGTCAAAAGAACTTTAAATCAAATTGCAGACACCATATCATCATCAAACTCCTCCTCGTCCCCCTCCTACCCCACCCTATATCATTTCCATTTTGCAAGTTTGGTGCCATGAACAGGTCAGTCTTGTCTTTTTTGTTGTTCCATGTGCAGCTTCTTGTTTGCCACATGTTCATGTACACACATATACAAATATCATATACACATTTATACAAAAATGGGCTCTATACAACAACTTACGTCCCCCTCCAGAGCAAGGTGCTTAAGTGAAAGAAATGTGTGCTGATTTTCCTCCAAATTATCAAGGACTGCCAGCCAAATCTGTGAAGCAAGCTTGTGGGCGATGTCTCTTGAGTTCCCACAAGCAATAAATTGATCTGCTAAAACAGAGAAAAATAAGAGGTAGTGATGGACTCATGTTTTTGTCATTCCAGAAAGAAGATACTGGTACTACATGACGAGATAAGATGCAAAAGATTAGAGCAGTCTAAATCTCAAATGCAGTTTCTAAGGATGGATAAGCAGACACTACAAACGGAATGCTATACTAGATTTTAAGCAGAAATCATTTTTATTTACCCAATCAAAACTCACTGACATAACATGAGAGATTGACATTCAAGATGCATTTATCATGAATGCATAATACAACATTTTGCTTACCATGAAAAGGAAAGGGATCATGCACGAAACAAGTATCCAGCAATAAGTCATGCTAATTTGTTATTATCATTCAACCTTTAGGAAGAACAATTGCTTCTTAAAAATTAAAATGGTACAAAGAATAAAACATATTAAAGCATTAATAGAAGAATGAAGCATTCCGATAACAGAAAGCAGACATTTAACATAGATGCCCATGAAACATCAATAGAAAATAAATCCATAAAACCTTCCACCTTTATAAAAGGAATCATATATCAACTTATGAAACATTAAAAAATTTGTAGGCGCAAGAACCAGAAGAGGATAGAAGCCACACCAATTATGGTTCCATGAAGTACCCCAGAAGGAGGTGGCATAGTTGAAAGTTCAAGCTGCTCTTTCAAAAATAAATATGTATGGCCCACAATCTCATCTATCTCATTTTCTAGAGCAAAGATGTGTTTACTAACATATAAAGCAGCAAACCTCCTGAAATATTAGGCAACACTGTTATAATCAAGTCAAGCTTAACAAAAAGGGTTAGAAGGAAACATTTTTGAACTACTTAAGAAACAGTTAATTATAATGTGATAAGACTTCAAAAAATGATTTTGTGATGTCCAAAAGCTGATTAATATTGTTTGCTTAGATTCTACCTTAAACAGAAAAGAAGAATGAAGATAGCAGTTACTCAAAGGAAATCAAATTCAATAATAATGTAGTCTGCTCAGTAGGTATTTTCTTTAGGATCTCACTTGCTACAAGTGATAGCACTGACTTCATCTTTCTGAAATCGGTAGCAAAACATAGGCTAAAGGATAAGTATGGCTGCTGTGTTCCTGGGTTAAAAAAGGAAGAATACTCCAGATTTTTTATTGCTTTAAATAGTTATGAATTTTATCGCTTGAAAAGACAAACAGAGCTTTATGAAAGGCTTCAAGGAATAGAAAGTAGGTATAAATGACAGGTAATTCTAAATCTCCAAGTTAAATGGAAGAAATATTATATCTTTAAGAAGCCAGTTGTCCTACAGCAATTTGCACAACCCACTAAGATTTGTTAAGTGTAAAAGAAAAATTAGGAAAAATTAAATTTCATTGAACAATTGCCTTATATATAGTACAGGAAAGAAAGGAATCACTAAACTTAGCCCAGAGGAAAAGAAGGGGGGTAGAGGGGGAGGAGAGAAAATCATGAGGGAAGAGGAAAAGGGCAGGGGGGAGGGGAGGGGAGAGGAAAAAAATATGAAGCATGAACAACTGGCATTGCTAGTCCATTCAACCTTTTGCTTAGTCCTTGAGGGATAGGTCCAGGCCACCTTTTAGCTTGGCTGGCCATAGGAAATGTTCTCATTAGAGCAGCTTGCCACAAGCATTCTCCACAAAACAATTTGGCCCACTGTTTTTTGACACAAGATAATTCTGCCCACTCTGAAACTGGCACTCTGATGAAAACTTCAATTAGGAGATGATCAGGAAGCTTTCCAAATGAATTATTAACCGATGTTGAAGTGTCATTATCCCTATTATTGGACATTACAATTCTGCAAAGAAAAAGCCAACTCTTGGAGATCAATTTTTTGCAAAAGAAAAGGGAGGAAAATGAACAGCAAATGAAATGAAATATTCTTCATGTTAAAATGTCCTAGACAAAATTTATGCTCAAATCGTGGAAGGCAGAAAAATAGTATTCTCAAGACAGGATAACGGTCAAGATGACAATATAAGATTTTGATGCCATAGAAAGTAGAGGCTCCATTTTAATTTTAATAAAATCATGTTAATATTTTCAGAATATAACTGAAAAGAGAGAAAAGAAGGTAATCAGATTAAAGATTAGAGAAAGAATACATAAAAATTCCTCCGAAACTAGCAATAATAAGATTAGATTATGAGAGCTTTAAAGACCCCCAGTAAAAGAAAAGGGAAAAAAAAAGAAAGAAAGACCTTTATGCTAAAAATGCATTCAAAGTGATTATGGTATAAATCATCTACCATAAGCAATCAAAAGCTTGACTACAATATTTTGCATCTTAACTGCCTATTTATAGAATCTATACCAGGGCCTAATAGTTTAAAAAAAAAAATTCCCTCAAGCAACACGGTAGGAAGCACTAAGATACAAGTGCCACAGATTCTCAACCAACTTCTCTAATCAGGAGATCTTAACACAACCTACTCCATTATACTGAAAATAGCTCCACTCATCAGAGTTTATTTGACCAAACTAGTCAACATGCATGCTGCCTAAGTTAAGTTTTGTTATTCCATGCAAATTTGATGTGTCCATTATATTACTCGTACCATTTGAACGAATAATTAACAAGAATATCAGAATTCAATGCGTGATGGGTGTGACAATAAAGCAATGAAGAAACCATATTGTTGTCAATTTCATAAACATTCTACAGCAAAACAACTAAATTTGGAAGCAACTTCCTATCACCATATGAAACATGAAGTGCCTAAGACAGAAGCAACATGGTACTAATGGGTATACATGAATAAATTGAACCAGAAATGAATCCATTTCAGGAAGATGGAGATGTAATAAATTGATTAAAATATGACAAGTCAATACATGCAACCTGAAAGCATTCTGATTAGAACAATGACATATAAAACAAAATAGTATGTGCTTGAAGCATACAGGATTCATAATCTCCATTAATTTAGGGTAGAAAACAGCCTAGGGAGAGCATGATGACTGCAAGAAAACATTAGATAATTTTTTCTTTCTTCACTAAGAAATTGCATCACTTGGATTGTTTACAGTAATCAGAGCAATCAAATTGAAGCTGTCTTTCTGTAAACGAACAAAAAAAGAAAGAAAGAAAGACAAATTCAAGATGTCCTGAAAGGAGGATTGGTGGAAATTGAATACAAAGAAAGAATCTTGATGACAAACTATATCAAATAAACATTCAAAACAGAATACAAAATCAGTCCATCACATAACAGAACAAGTTAATGGCAACAAAAATAAAAAAATTAAGAAACTGGCACGAAGCTCATGAAAATGAAGACAGCTTGTTAAGAAAACGAAGCCCAGAAAAGCCTTTCTAACAACCGGGCTGAATTATGATAAAAACCCAGCTTTTATTTGATTGTTAACTATTCAAATTTAGTCCCACAACCACATATTGCACTTTAAGCCGACCCATAAACACAATAATCATAAACTGAGGAAGAAAATAGACGTATAGTCGGTGTTCAGTGCATCAAGTAACTACTACCATTCAGTAGGAAGATGATTGAACCAAACTTAAAATAGTGCAAAAAATTAGACAGACGAAATGCATGAGAAATGAAAAGAAAATATCACCTGGGTTTTTTTGGTTTTCCCCTATTTCTTTTCACTCTTCAGCTGAGAAGGTTGAGCTTTGACGAGAGAGAGAGAGAGAGAGTAGCTGAGCTGAGATAGGAAAATTGTACGACGTGATCGTTTGAGGTGAGACTATAAAAGAAAATTACCGTATACAAAATGAATTTAAAAAGAACTGTTTTGACAAGAAGCGACGTCGTGTAACTATAGAGGTTAGGTTAACGTTGCTTTCCCTTTTGTTTTTTTCCTTCTTTTTTGTGGTTGAACGTTGCTTTCCTCACCAGCATGGTGATATTCTAGTTCTCTGTTCATCTGAGAATTCCAGAAAAAAAAAACCATGAATGTTGTCCGTACCAGAAGAGCTAAAGCCATCCACTTTCTTAACCGAACCCAACTCAGAGGCACGAAATCTTTGTGCAATAGAGGTGAAATTCAACAAGATTCCAAATTGATTCAATTGGATTCTTCCTTTTACATGAGAATTTTGCAGCTTTGCATCAATTCTAAAGCCAAAAGGCAAGCCCTTCTAGTTCACGGCCAAATTATAACAAATGGGTTTATTTCTAATGTCCATTTAGGTACTAAATTAATAATTTCTTATGCCAAAATTGGTGACATGATTGCTGCAAAGAAAGTGTTTGATAAAATGAGTGAAAGAACTATTGTGTCATGGACGGCTGTGATTTCAGGGTATTCCCAGAATGGGTTTTTTGAGAATGCCTTGATGGTATTTTCGGAGATGCGAAAAGGGGGTTTTAAGGGTAATCAGTTCAGCTATGGGAGTGCACTAAAAGCTTGTACTGGTTTGAGGTGTTTGGAAAGAGGGTTGCAAATTCAAGGGTGTGTTGAGAAAGGGAGGTTTGTCATGAACCTGTTTGTGCAGAGTGGGTTACTTGATTTGCACGCAAAGTGTGGAAACATGGAGGATGCTAGTCGGTTGTTTTATGGAATGGGAGGAAGGGATTTGGTATCCTGGAATGTGATGATTGGTGGATTTGCTGTTCAAGGATTCCCTGATGATGCATTTCAATTGTTTAGAGAAATGATGAGAGAAGGTTTGCTTTCACAACTTGTTTTAAATGCACATTTTAAGATATAACATTGATTAAATTCTTTATTTCAGGATTTTAACTTATTATTTTGTTCAAATTAAGATGTAATTTTTTAGCTTTTATCCATTTAAAGAAAATATGACCAAAGTTAACAAATACAAAGTTGACTCTATTAATTCTTTTAATGGTAATTTAATAACTTTTATCATCAATTTTCTTTAAATGGATAGATGGAAAAGGTTGCAACTTAATTTAATCGAAATAATAGGTTAAATTTTGCTATGAAAAATTTAACAATTATTAGATCTTAAAATGAGTATTTAGCCTTAGTTTTAGTTTTATAATATTAAAATGTATTTTCTTTGTAGCAATTACTATGTTTTTGTTTTATTTAATTAAATTTTTTTATTATTGTAATATTAACCTTGATGCATAACACATTCTGATATTAAATACTATTGACTTATAAGAAAAAGCTGTGGGGCATAAACTTCAAGAGTAGATTACTTTTTGGGTCACTGAACTTTTGAAAATTTTTGTTTTGGCCATCTAACATTAGAAAATAATATTTTGATCACCTGCATTTATAAGTGCTATTGTTTTGGTCCATCAGCTATTAAAGATAATAGGCTTTCCACTTGGCATTTCATGTTACCATACCATAACTAGTGGCATATCCATGTAGCTAAGTCCACGTGGTAATAATTTCTTTTAACAGGAATTTAAAAAATAAGGAATTATTTTTTTAAGGAAAAAAATTATATTACCATGTTGTATAGTGGCTGACTTGGATATGTCACCTAGCTAAGATATGTTGATGTAGAATGTGAGTTGGGAGGTCTGTTATATTTTATTGGTTGAGTGACCAAAACAATAATACTTATAAACATTGGTGACCAAAATATTCTTTTCAAAGTTGGGTGACAAAAATAAAAAGTCTCAAGATATTAGATGATCCAAAAATATAATTAACTCTAAATTTAATAGAGAGAAATAAATGTGATGTATAAGCTAATCCAGGCTTAGATCAATAGGAACACTTGGTCATTAAAGATAAATCTGAAACTTCCCATCCATATGTTAGTAACTAGTAAATCTTGCTCTCTCCATTAGAATATTCTTGACATTGTTGACAGTTTATCAATTGCCTTTATGACATTGTCTGATTTTGGCATCTCCTTGTTGCGTACTCTTTTTAACATAAAAAGATAAAAAAAAAGCAGTCTGAAATTATCTGAAACACTCTGCTTCAACAGGAAAGATCCCTGATTGCTTTACCTTTGGTAGTGTTTTAAGAGTCTCCTTTGGGGAGGGTGGCCTCATGAAGGTCAGCCAAGTACATGGACTGATCACCCGACTGGGGTTTGAATCATGTAATTTGTTGGCTGGATCACTAATTGATGCTTATTCTATATGTGGAAGTCTACAGTGTGCTTCTAGGTTATATAGGAATATGCCAAAGAAAGACATTATATCTTGCACAGCCTTGATCGCTAGCTTTGCACGTGAAGGCAAGCACAATAGGGATCCCTTGGATCTCTTTAAAGAAATAAACTCAATGCAAATGGGAATGGATAATATGATATTGTGCTCTATTCTTAACATATGTGCTAATGTAGCAGAACTGAGCTTGGGAAGACAGATCCATGCTTTTTCTTTGAAATGTCAACCAAGTAGTGATTTGGCAATGGGCAATGCTCTAATTGATATGTATGCAAAATCTGGACAAATAAAAGATGCTAATAAGGTATTTAATGAAATGGATGAGAGAAATGTGGTTTCGTGGACGTCACTTATTGCTGGATATGGAAGGCATGGATATGGACATGAGGCAATTGCATTATATGAGGAAATGGAGCATGAAGGGTTGAAGCCAAACGATGTAACTTTTTTGTCCCTTCTCTTTGCTTGTAGCCATACTGGGCTGGTTAATGAAGGTTTAGAATTACTTAATGCAATGGTTAGCAAATACAAGATATTACCCCGAGCTGAGCATCTTTCCTGTATGGTTGATCTCTTTGCACGTGGAGGGCAGTTAGAAGCTGCTTATAATCTGATACATGAGATGAACATTGAGCCTACAACATCACTTTGGGGTGCCATGCTTGGGGCTAGTAACATCTATGGCAACATGTCTATAGGAGAAGCAGCAGCAGCGCACCTTTTTAATATGGATCCAGAGAAGTCAGTTAACTACATTGCCTTAGCTGGAATATATGCAAGAGCTGGGGCATGGGAAAATGCTTGGGAGACACGTAAATTAATGGACAAAAGAAGTGCAGTAAAGGATCCAGCATACAGCCTTCTGAGCTCTACAGAGAAGAAAGGGGTGCTTTTGCAGCCACATTGAAAGGGTCAAGCTATCTTATTATATTGTTCATGTAGGAGATGCAGCATTATTTACAAATTACAAGAACTTTTCTAGACACTTAAATTTATGTTGATGGTACAGAAGAGTTGGAGTATTGGTTTTGTTTATTGTCATTCTACTCAAAAGGACATCAATCTGGTTGACTAACGTCCTTCTGATGCTGCACATCATCCTGGTATTTAACTAACTATAGTTTTTTGCATCGATTTTCTCGTCTCAAACAAGTATTAAGTAATTTAGATGTGTATTATGCATTTAGTTATGTATATTGATAACTGTTTGCAAGTATGAGCATATAAGAGGTTGATTTGTCTATGGAAAATATCTGCAGGCAAGGAGATTCTTTTATCTTGGGGAAATGAGGAATGATGATTGAGAGCATAGGCCTTCAATTTGGCTATTCTATGTTAAGTTGATGGTTTAAGTGAACACAGTGATCGGTTGTTGTAAATCTATGATTAACTTTGGTTGTATGTGGGTCTAACTAGCCCATTCAATCAGATAGATAGGTTGCTGATTTTAGACCTTTCGTATGCATTAACCGTGGTTCATGATGAAAGTCAAATTGGAGGTTTATTACATGTTTCCTTACTGAAACTGGATGATATGAGGGGTTCTATATGTGTTTATTTATATTGTTTCCGTTTAATATATTTGTAGAAGTGATGTCTTGTGTGTATATTTCCCTGAGATGTCAAATGTACATCAGATTCTTGCTTTCTTATAAGCTATATAAGTTCCCATTTGGTTTCAATGTTTTCTTGTCTTAAACTATGTGCCATCTGGGTTAGTGGTCAAATGACTGGTCTAGGGATTGTAGACATAATTCTATATGGTAATGAATAAACTAATTTCTAATTTACTATTTTTATTTTTGTTATGGATTTTAGCTGTATTTCCTCCCTCTTACTGTTGTCATAATCATTAATGGCATTCGTTTTTACTTACTCAGCTTGTCTTGTTGGTGGAATATCTTTGTTACGCACCAAGCTCATAGTTAAATAAACTCAAGGCTGGGGATGTCATCAAATCTTCAATAATGTGGTAAGAAGTGATAAATTTACATCTTTGTATTCCATAGATTTAAAGTTCAGGCAATTTATTAATGATAAACATTTTTATTTTACTCATTGTTGAATTGAATGATGTGAGAATCATCATATAGAACATCTTCAAATTGCAAGATCGTCAGACTTAGTATTCATATTAAGACTCGTAATGTTGCTTAGAAAAGAGTGCATTCATAGGAAGATAGGATATAAATAAAATAAAGGGATCAAGCCAGAATTTGAGGAAAAAGATCCTATCAATCCCATTGTATTAGAAGACAGAAAAACATCAATGTTATTTTTGCTGTTAATTTAGACCATCTTTATATCTTATCTCTAACATGATTTGTCAAAATTTAAGCTTATTTTTGCTGTTAATTTAGACCATCTTTATATCTTATCTCTAATATGATTTGTCAAAATTGAAGCATACTTTTCCTACAACTTTCTAGGATAGGTTTGACTCTATGTTATTTCTTGACACCATGCTAGGTCTTTTTACATGTTTATTAAACCTAGTCTTCAACTCCGTCGTTGAGTTATGTGCCTATGTCATCAGTTTTGGCTGTCACAAATAATATGCCTGGAGTAACCTTAATCACCACACAACCTTGATTGTTTTGAACATTTTAGCAAACATAGTATGTTCGTTGACTAGACAAATGGGAGGAGAATCTTAGTGCATCGAGTTGTAGCTCCCCCCTCTCTCTTTTTGCTAATACAAAAAAATTTTTCCATTGACATTATATGAATGAGTAAAATACACCCAAATCCTTAAGGTATTCCCCTGATTCAACTCAAGTCCATTAGTTTTTAAAATGGACACCCTACTCTAAAACACCAAATGGTGTTAATGGAGGTTGAAAAATCACTAAACTGCCTATGACTCTAAAACACCAAAAATCCTTCTTTGAAGACAGATTAGACGAGTCATTCACCTGTTAATCTTCATCTTCATCATCTCCATCCATCCTAAACCCAAAAGCCCAAGCTCATTTGTGTTGGATTTTTCTTGTTTCCAGACTGCTCCATTTTTTTCATCCACTCTACACCCAAAAATCACCGAAGAGATAAAAGCTGCAGCTGAACATGCAAATGCTGCTAAGTTCATTGACAAATTACCTCATGTTTTAATTTCTCATCCACAAGGTTATTTCTTATATTATATCTCAACTTTTATAATTATATTTGAATTGTACATTTGAACTTCGAACTCCATATATAGGGGGACACATACCACAACTCAACCATGTGTAATTGTAGAAAGCTATCCATTCTGGGTAATCACTTGTGTGGGATTTATTTAACTCAGCCCAAAGATGTCCCCTTACTACCTTTATATGGCTTTCAAAGTGCTTCCCAAAGTCCATAGCTTCCATCAGCCTATGTGTGTCTTGTCCATTGCTTTTCTTCTGCTCCGGAAATGGGAATGAAGAGGGACTGATCAGTTGAGTATTGAAATGTGGGTATTTTATTCAATCCAACCTTACTTTTCTTGGGTTAACCCCAAATAGGTGTTCTCACCAATAAGAAAGAAGGGATATGCTTTTCATTCAACCAGTCCCCTAACTCACATCGACTAAACTCACCTTGGCTGAGCTTCAGAGCTATGATCTTATGCTAAATGGGCTAATGCTACTTCCCCATTCAATAATTGAAGTCTGGTAGACAAAAGCAGAGTGTGGCAATAACAAAAGCAATTCTAAAGGACCCCCACATTTTGCTTTTAGATGAAGCTAAACAAGTGATTTCTCTCTCTGTTAGATTGTTTTCGTGTCCAAGTCATCAGCTGAGTCTTTCTTTCTTATATTTCTACATGAAGGGTAAAATGGGTATCATGTGATACCCACGTGAGTTAATTAACAGAAAGTCAAATGGTGGCTTAATCACAGGACTTATGAAACTTGTGAAGTATATTATTTTGAGATGAGGTGTCCATTTTGAAAACCAGTTGACTTGAGCTGAATTACTTATTTATATGCAATAGCTTTGGTTTATCTTGATTTTTAGGACAACAGCTGATATTTTCTTGTCTCTGCAAGCAGGACATAAGTAGGAATTCCAAGCAAAGCAACTCCAGGCATCAATTATAGCCCAGAGAAAATATGGAACTGCCACAAATTGCGGTGTAACCATGATACAGCAACTAAGTTCTAGCATTCTAAATGTTTTTGACCAGCTTGTTTAAGAAATTCAACTGGTGACCTTCAAACGGCCATGCTTTCCTCCATCGGGTGATGCTTGGAGAATCAAAGTATCAACTTAATTTGGTAAGTTGATGCTGCAAGATGATCATATCTTACTCAAACCAGAGAATGGTTTGTGGATATGCAAAGCCTGTCTGCTCCTGACTTGTAGATGTTTAATGCTAATTTATCCTTCAGTTAAACAAGGATGTTACAGACTTGCAGGGGGATCATCAGGAACAAAGTTGGATCTTGAGAAGAGCCATGTTGCTGTAGTGTTTCATGAACTGGATTGGCGGCTCCCAATTATTGTAGAGTTTTTTTCTCTCTTTTTATCTTTTCTTTTTCTGTCATTAATAGATAGAGACATTTGCTGCAAATAAGCTGTAAGAAATTTCGTTGAAAATGAAGAAAATTGTAGAAAACATTAGTAAAATGTTGTCTAAATTTCAGTTCGAAAGCGTAAGACCTGTGTAGCAGATTGTTAGGAAAGAGGAGGAAAAGAGGGAGGGGGTCAACACCATAACTCTGTGATGCCAATTTGTTCAGCCACTGTAGTTAAACTATCTTTGAATTCCTAGATTTCTTTCTAATAAATTGATACAACTTTGCCCATCCCGAGACCCCTGGAATTGCTGAAAAGGAAATATCATGGATGGATCACCAGAATCACCAATCACCAAGAACTTTGAGCAACATCCACATACATTGTAGAAATACATGGACAGCATTCTCAACTGTTAAAATGCATTCTGAAGGGGACACTACAAAAATCTTCTACGGTTGTTACGTACCTTCTTCAAGAGAGCTTCACGACCAGGAAATGGGTTGTAAATCTCCACCGTCCGATCTTTATCAGACCCTTGACTCCTGTCCAACCTGACACCACCATCAACCCCATGTCCGAAACTATCCCCACTTTTCTGCTTAATCTCCAACTTCACTTCTGTCTTCAACCTCACTCTCTCCCTTCTCTCCCTCCTCTTCTCTCCTAAAACCCCATCTCCAGGTTTCACTTCTTTTCCCTCTCTTCCACTCTTGCTTTCACCATCGTTCATATCCGCAACTCTCGGTATCCTGCCACCTTTACTAGTCCCAAGAACCTCGAAGTTAACCTTTCTCCAGCCAGCCTTATCTTCATTATCCCAACCGAATCTTTCACTTATCTCTAACAACATAGACACTGCGCTCTGGTTACCGGATAAGAAAGAGTCATTTGTTGTTAATTTTGCATTGTTTCCATGCAAAACATTCTCAGCGAACTCCCACTCTATTCTGTCCTGGTAAACAGGGTCTTGAAGCACTTGGTCAGCCAGGTTTGCCCAGTGTTCATAGTCACGGGCACGCAGGTTTTTGGACATCCATTTGAGATAGTTAGAAGGGAGGGTGCCTAGCATCTTGCCTTTGTGTTTGCCAAAGTCTATGACAAAGTCTGTTGCTGGAATTGTTCTGGGAGCCGAAGCTGATGAGGCTCTTCTGGGTTTCGGAGACGAAGGGAGTCTTAGACTTAGAGATATTGGGCTTGAAGAAGGAGCATTCAAGAGTCGGAAAGTCATGGATTGAGGTTCAAAATATTTGAAGCAACAGCAGAGATGCTACAGGGTAAAGAATATAGGTGGAAAGGCCAAGAGTCGCTTAAGGGAGTGGCGATGACGATATATAAGTAATATCTCGGGTCTAGCCCAATATTTGGTAAATCTGTACGGAAATTCAAGAAAATTAATGTATTTAAAAAGTTGGGATTTTTTCTTTTGCTGTAATTGAATTAGTGGGAAAATACTCTTTTCTTAATTTTTTCTTCTCATTTTCCTTGTCCCACTTCTTCGGGATGCATTCCAACATTTCTGATATTGTTAGCTTTGTTTTGTAAACAAATATAAATCATAATCACATATATCAAATTGTTAAAGGTTAAAAGATGTTAAATAAATAAATTTTAAAGGAAGAAACAAAGCCCAAATCTTCCTCATAGACCAGTTTTGATAGTTGGCTCAACATGTCCAAAGTTGTGTGCAAGAGGGTTCTTTTAATAAAAAGAGAGGACCTGTTGTAACAAGTAAAACAAAATGCATTAAAAGCAGTAGAGAGGAAGATTAGAACAATTCTTGAAGTGTAAGTGCTTTTAAGGTAGGCGATAAGAAATAATAAATCAAAGAATAGGTGGATAAGACGATGGATCATAGCAAATGAAAGAGTTTTTAAGAGTAATTTGATCAATTTCTAATCTATTTCCTAAATCACCAAGCCCCGTATTTATATTAAGTAGGAGCATATTTTTAGAAGCAGTTGGTAGAAAGGGAATATTTCTAAGAGAACATATTTTGTATGGAAGAACGTGTTCGTTATGAGAAAAGCACGTTTACTATGAAAAAAAATAACTTATTGGATGTTTTGGGAAGAACTAATAATTGGATAGTGCGTGAAAGTTTTGGATAGTGGAGTAATGATACTTAATAATGAACTAAATCGCAAACTCTTTTCTCATGAGGTTTTACGGCTCACGATAATGGGATTGTCTATTAAAGTTGCTTATGTTTGCTAAATTGAAGTGCCATTTCAATTTATCTCTTATTTACAAGCTCTTCCTTCTTCACACCTTCTAAGAACTTAATTTGTCATATTATAAGTTATTGCTTTGTGCTTTTTCCATAAATATAAATCTATTTCAATTCTTTTTTAGTTATGGACTTTGGTAAATTATATATAACAAGTCTTTTCTTTGAAACATGAAAAATTTAGAGTATTTCCTTTGATGCACTCTACATTTATCTTTAAGAATAATAATGATAATGGTGATAAAAGTTTATAAGAAAAAAGACTGAAAATGGTAATGAAAGTAGAGATATATGTATGAGAAATATAATAGAGAATTGAATTTGTGATGAAGAATGGTTATGTAGCTTTGCATTCACTATGAATTTATACTACATGGCAAGCCTTTTAGATAAGAGGATATAACTAGTATGAGATTACATCAAATCACAAGATAAAATAGGATAGGATTACATCAAAATATATGATAAGTATACAAGAGTTATCCTAGATTGAATTTTATATGTTGTGATTGAGAAAATTGGTTCAACTGTTTATCCTTGATTGATTTTGATGTTTGTGAAGATTGATTTAGCTCATTATCCATGATTGATTGTGATGATTTCAAGTTATTCTTATTAATGTGATCTTGTAGTACTTTATTCTATCCAATATGCTCTCGCAAGATGGTGGTTCCATTGGAAACATCGATCTTGGATAAAAGGTAATGAAATGTGGATTTGGATAATGGTTTGGTGAGGGCATCGACCAATTGTTGTGTAGTTGAGACATGTCTTACTTGAAGTTGCCTTTGGCTAACTTTTTCTTAGACAAAAAAAGAATTCAGTGCAAGATGTTTCATTCTAATATGGAATACTGGATTTGCATAAGTATATGTAGCACATAAGGTAAAATAAAGGATAATTGGAGCTATCATAAGTTTGCGTTGGAGTTCAAAGAGCAGAGATTGAATCCAAATTGTTTCTGAGACAACAGTGTCAATGGCTCAATATTCAGCTTCCGTTGAGGATCGAGCAACAATCTTTTGTTTCTAAAATCACCATAACATTGGAGAGCTAACAAGATAAATGATGTATGCTGAGGTTGAAGTTTTATCATCTAAATTACTGATTCGATCTTAATTTGAAAAGATAGTAAAGACAAGTTTAGGTTCACTTTTTATTAATAGGCCATGAAGCATGGTATCTATTAAGTATCTGAGTAATCTTTTAAGAGATGTTTGATGTTATTGAGTTTGTTTATACATGAATTAGGAAAGTTTGTTAATAACATAACTAATATCAAATCTTGTAGTAGACAAATATTGTAGAGCACAAATGGTTTTTCTAAATTGGTAGGATCGATTGCAACAGAACCATCATGTCTTAACCTAACAAAAATGGAGAATGGTGTGCTGGATTCTTTTGCATTAGACATATGTGTTCTTTGTAAAATATCATCGATATACTTGTCTTGATCAAAAAGAAAAAGCCTTTGGAATGAGGAATGACTTTAACACTCAAAAAATAGTTCAATGTACCTAAACCTTTAAAAGAAAAACTATTTGACAAGGCTTTAGCAAATTGTGATAGAAAAGAATTGACATTGCCTGTTAGAGTTATATCATCAATATATACCAACATAAAGATAGTAACGTGATCTCTGTGGATGGTAAACAGTGAGGTGATAACAATTGAATTCTAAAAGCCATAAGATAGTAGAAATGAGTTGAGAACTCCACACCACGCTTGAAGAGCTTGTCTAAGGCCATAAATGGCTTTCTTTAACTTGCAAACATAGTTAGGATGTGCTTTGTTTGCAAGAACAAGTGCTTGGTTCATGTATACTTCTTCATTGAGATCACTTTGAAGGAAACCAATGTTGACATCTAGTAGATGGAAGGGTCATTGTTTGGATAATGCCAAGCATAATACCAATCTAATTGTGACTAGTTTGACAATTAAGTTGAAGGTTTCAATGTAATCTAGTTCAGGCCTTTGATTAAAACCTTTGGCCATTAATCTTGCTTTATATGTGGATATTGAGCCATCAAGATGTTTTTTATCTTGAAGATCCATTTGTATCTTATCACAAGTCTTTTGACAAGGGGAGAAACAAGTTCCCAAGTACCATTTGCATTCAGCACCTTCAGTTCTTCAAGTATTGCATGTTTCCATTGAGAGTCTTTAATATCATGAGTGGCACAAATAGGTTTGATAACTTGGGGAAAGGGATATTTAGTAATCATGTTTATTTGTTTAGGTTTAAAGATATTGTTTTGTGACCTAGTAACCATAGGATAAGTTCTTTGTGGAATAAGATTTGAAATAATGTTTGTTGAGCTCAAAAGTGAAGATTGAGATAAAAAAGATGCTTGAGTTGATAATGATGATGAAGAAAACTCAATACATGAGTTTGCCCCTTGTGGATGAGCAATGTGAATTGGTGTCGCTGATGGAGTCAGTGCAAAATTTGTTGGGTAAACATGACACAAAAGTAGGAAAGCCAGAATCTGTTAAAGAAACAAAAGATGTGGCAAACAAATTCTTATCAATATATTTGATATTAGAGAAAGGACACTAAGACTCATGAATTAATAAAATAATTTCTTGATGTAAATATCTTGTTAGTGATAAGATCTAGGCATATGTAAGCACTTTGGAGTTTGGAATACCTTATGAAAACACAAGGTTTGGATTTTTGATCAAGTTTATACTTGGCATTTTGTTTTAACCATGAATAACAGAAACACCTAAACACTTTCAATTTATGGTGATTTGGTTGTTGGTTAAAAAGAATTTCATAAAGACTTTTACTAGCTAGAATTGAAGAAGGTAATCAATTCAATAGGTAGATCATAGCATCAAGGGCATAAAACTAATATTGAAGTGACATGGAAGCTTGATCAAGAAGGGTTAAGCTAGTTTCTACTATACTTTTGTGTCTCCTTTCAACAATGGCATTGTGTTATGGTGTATATGGAGGGATCTGAAGATGTTGAATACCAAATATTGAGACAAGACTTTAGCACTTCATATTCTCCTCCACAATATAAGCAAATAAAAACAATATAAAATAAAAAATAGTTTTCTACCATTTTTTAAAACTTAAGAAACAATAAATTGATATCAGATTTATATGTCAAAGAAAAATTCAAATGTATCACATCAAATGATCAATAAATGAAACATAATATTGAAAACAATTAATAGAAAGACCCTTAAAGATCCCTAAACAATAGTGAAAAGTATCTCAAGAGGTTTATTACTAACCAAATTAAACTTAGCAAAAGATAGCATATGAATCTCATTACAACAACAACAGTTGCATAAATTATTAGAAATAGAAGAAGAACAATGCAGAGATAAGTTTTTTTTATCATGAATTTTAAAGTGTGATTGGAGTGATGACAAAGCCTTTAATGTCATTTGATGAAACTAATTTTTGTTCCAATAAGTGTTAGAGCTTATGGAGTAATAAGTGGCTTGGTCGTTTGAATTTGTAAACACTTTTGCTATTTTGGCCTCTTACAAATGACTTCCTCGTGTATAAATCTTTCACCAAAAATGATGTGGGACAAATTCAATGGAAACAGAATTAGTTACATAGAATTTTGAAACATAGAGAAATTTTGTACTTCTATTAGGAGCACAAAAGACATCTTGTAAAGAAAATAAAAAAGAGTGAAAGGTAATAGATCTAGAACTAGTGTATGTAATGGATAAACTTGTACTAGTACCAATACAAAGTTCATCAAGCCTTCCATATGGTGAGTTAAGTGTCACATTCTATAAATTTGAAATAATATGGTGGGAAGCTCTAAAATCAACAATCTAAAAGAATTTTAATTATTTGCAATGGCATAATGTGTTATTGGTTGAGTAAAAGGTCGTTACAACTTGACCTTGAAATAGTTTTTTGTATGTAACTTGACTTGTCAGTAGTATCTAACTCATATATTGGACTAGTTGGTAAAACTTGTTTCTTTGAAAATGATTAAAAGCTATAGTTGTTATTTTGATTGTTATAACCTGAGGATTTAATAAGTTATTTGTATTTGTCAGATGTGGTAAAGAAGGCTTGGGTGGAAAGATGAGCAGATGAAGGAGTGTGATCTTGGACAAATTTAAATTTCTTAAAAAAAAATTTTCACATTCTTAAATTTTATTAAAGGAGTTTTTCAAATGAGACATAAGTTTCT